TTTATTTTAAATTAATTTTTATTATGTATGTGCATATGTATATGTATCTGTATGTATGTGCAAGTGAGTGCAAGTATCTCTGAAAGTCCAGAAGAAGACGTTGGATCTCTAGGGCGGTGGTGAGCTGGGAAGCAAACCAGATCCTCCCTAAGAGCAGCAAGTACTCTTAACTGTTGGGCCATCTCTCCAGCCCCTGAAAAGAACCCTTAATGATGAATAGGCAGACACTTAAAAACCTAGGAGCTGTAGAGATGGCTCAGTGGTTAAGAGCACTTGCTGCTCTTATAGGGGACCCACGCTTATATCCCAGTACCCACATGACAGCTCACAATTTTCTGTAACTCTAATTGCAGGGGATGTGACGCCTCTAGTGGCCTCTGTAGGCATTGCATGTACATGGTGCACAGAAGTACATGCAAGAAAAACATGGTATAAGGTACACATACACATAAAACAGAAAATAAATTTTTTAGAAAAGCAGACATTGGGGTTAGAGAGATGGTGGAGCAGTTTAGAGCATTGGATGCTCTTGCCAAGAACCAGGTTTAGGTTTTCAGTACTCGCATAATGGCCCTAGGAACACACACAATGCACGTATACACACACAGGCAAAGCACCCATGCCCATTTTGATGGTTTGAATGAAAACAGTTGCCATAGCTCATATGTTTGAATGCTTGGTGCCCAGCTGTTTGGGAAGGATTAGGAGGTGTGGCCTTACTGGAGGAGGTGTCACTGGGAATGTGGGCTGTAACATTTCAAAGGCTTATGCCAGCCCTGCCTGCAACGCGAAACCTAACTACTTCTCTAGCACCGTATCTGCCTGCGAGCTGCTGTGTTTCCACCGTGATGATACTGGACTAAACCTCCCAAGCTGTAAGCCAGCCCAAATCAAATGCTTTCTTTTAAAAGTTGCTTTGAAGCCGGGCGGTGGTGGCACACGCCTTTAATCCCAGCACTTGGGAGGCAGAAGCAGGCGGATTTCTGAGTTCGAGGCCAGCCTGGTCTACAGAGTGAGCTCTAGGACAGCCAGGACTACAGAGAGGAATCTTGTCTCGAAAAAACAAAACAAACAAACAAACAAAAAAAAAGTTGCTTTGGTCATGGTGTCTCAGCATTCACAGCATTAGAATAGTAACTAAGACATACATAAAATAATCACCTCAGGGTGGTGGCACATGCCTTTAATCCCAGCACTCAGGAGGCAGAGGCAGGCAGATCTCTATGAGTTTGGGGCCAGTTTAATCTTAATAGTTAGACCCAGGACAGCCAAGACTATATAATGAGACCTTGTCTCAAAAAAAAAAAAAAAATGAAGAAGGAAATCGATCAATCAATCACTGGTAGTTTGAAGAGGGGGAAATGGGGACAGGGCCACTAGCAAGCAATACACAGATCCAAGCCCTGCATGGGGCTCTCTGCAGTGACAGCCACCAGCCCATTGTGACAATTAAATCATTTGAAATGTAGCTATGTAGTACAGTCAAGAAACTCATTTTTTTCTTATTAACATTCAGATAGTCACCTAGGGCCGGAAGCTGCCCTGTTGGATACACAGGCCTAGAAAGACATTGACAGAGGTCTGAAGAGAAGGTTTGGGGTCGCCGGGCGGTGTTGGCGCACGCCTTTAATCCCAGCACTTGGGAGGCAGAAGCAGGTGGGTTTCTGAGTTCAAGGCTAGCCTGGTCTACAGAGAAACCCTGTCTTCAAAAACCAAAAAAAAAAAAAGACTGTTTGGGGTCATATATGGGATAACATTCTGAGTCAGTGGCCCACTGCCCCACAAAGGGTGTGTCCTGTCTCCTGGTTGTGGTGAGGAGGAAGACTGCAGTCGAGACCACTTCTCCCTTGTTGAGGGGACTTGGGCAAAAGGACAGCATGACAGCCCGTGCATACTGAGATTCACTACACACTAGAGGGATATTGGCACATCACATAGCAGGTTTTATTACTTGTCCATGTCTCAGTTGGGTGGGCTGGTATGTATCAGCACTTGGAAGTTGGAGGTAGATGGGCCTAGAGTTCTGGACCAGCCTGCTGGGACACATGAAACATTATCTCAAAAAACAAACAAACAAACAAACAAAAAAACAATACAGGCAGCTAGGCAGTGGTGATGCACTCCCGGCGGCGCTCAGGAGGTAGAGGTAGGTAGATCTGTGTGTTTGAGGCCAGCCAGAGCAAAGGAGAGGCAGGGCTATACAAAAGAAACCCTGTATCAAACCCCTAAAATATGCAGGCATGCACACACAGGTGGCACATGCCTTTAATCCCAGTACTTCGGAAGCAGAGGGAGGAGAGTTAGAAGCCAGCCAAAGCTTACACAGTGAGGCCATTTTTAAAAACAACAATGAAAGAAGGAAGGAAGGAAGGAAGAGCCGGGCGGTGGTGGCGCACGCCTTTAATCCCAGCACTTGGGATGTAGAGGCAGGTGGATTTCTGAGTTCGAGAGTTCGAGGCTAGCCTGGTCTACAGAGTGAGTTCCAGGACAGCCAGGGCTACACAGAGAAACCCTGTCTCAAAAAACCAAAAAAAGAAGAAAGGAAGGAAGGAAGGAAAAGAAAAAGAAATGGGCTGGAGAGTTGGCTCAGTGATTGAGAGTACTAGCTGCTCTTTCAGAGGACCCAGGTTCAATTCTCAGCACCCACATGACTGCTCACAACTCTCTGTAACTACAATTCAGGGGGTGTCTAATGCCCTCTTCTGGACTCTGGTGGCACTGCAGGTATGTGATGCATAGACATACATTCAAGCAAAACACTCATTCATACACAAAAGCAGCCAGTGGTCTTAACAGTGGAGCCATTTCACCACCCCCCATCCCATAAGTTTTTTTTTAATTAATTAACTAATTAAAAATTATTTTTTGTTTTCTCAAGACAGGGTTTCTTTCTTTCTCTCTTTCTTTCTTTCTTTCTTTTTCTTTTTTTTTTGTTTATTGCCGGGCAGTGGTGGCACATGCCTTTTAATCCCAGCACTTGGGAGGCAGAAGCAGGTGGATTTCTGAGTTCAAGGCCAGCCTGGTCTACAGAGTATCAGGACAGCCAGGGCTACACAGAGAAACCCTGTCTCAAAAAAACAAAAGCAAACAAAAAGATTTATATGTATCAGTGTTTGGCCTGCACATTATGTGTCTGATCCCCCCACACACACCCCAGGCATCAGAATAGCGTTTCAGATCCCCTGAAACTGGAGTCATGGAGGGTTGTGAGCTATCATGTGGGTACTGGGAACAGAACCTGGGTCCTCTGGAAGAGCAGCAAGTGCTATTAACTGCTGAGCCAATAAATCAATTAAAAGAATAAAAAAGAGAATGAATGGAAACCTAGTCACTAGGGTAAAGGTTGACAACTGAACTATCACTCATATCTGGTGGAGGGGACAGTCAGTTTTCTATAATACAGAGGCAGTGGTATGTCAGCCACTGGAGGAGTAGTTGACCAACATCTAATGGCACAGGGTTTTTAGTGTGCTTTTACTTGGGTAGATGTGGAAGGTGTGACTTTGTTTTCTTGATTTTGGGGGTATTGGTTGTTGTATTAGGTTTTTGTTTGCATGAGTAGGAAGAGGGATAGAATCTTTAAGTTAAAAAACTATTTTAACTAACCAAAAATACAATAAAGAATTTCCCAAGTAACTAATAAACATTTAAAATTCAAAAATAAATAAAAAGAAAAAATTAAAAGATGTCAGGGTTGTATGTGGAGACTCTGGCCCTGCGGATGACATATCTGAGTGAAGATCACATAGCAAGTGAGAAACACAGCTAAGGTTTGAACTTGTGTCTGACCTGGCTCCAGTGCCCCCTTTGCAGCTGTTCTTTGATGGAGCTGGCTGAGGGTAAGACCAGGCAGGTGTGAGGGGACCTGTGCCTGTTACCAACGAGAGACGAGAGACGAAGGAAGAGTGTATATCCTGACTGGAGGGCAGGCTGGCACCACCCAGAAATATGGAGCCAGGGTAGGATGGGGACCTCCTGGACTTCCATATTCCTTGCAGCAGATGGACATTACATTGTGCAGAGGTGGCTCAGGGTCACCAGTGAGTCTTAAAAGTATCCCATCCTCACTGTGGTGGTTTTAAAAAAAATACTTTTGCATGGTGACTCTCGGCTGGTGTCAGGACTAAGGGATAAAAATACCTTTCTGGTGAAGTGGATGAAATCTGAATTCAGAATGCATCAAGGAAAGGAGTTAGTGTGGCTTCCTGGGCTCGATGCCAGGACCACCACACGTGAGGGATGGCTGTTCTGAGGCCCTCTGCTAGGCCAGCTCTGAGGGTAGCACATCTGTAGTTTCCGCTTCAGAGACAGATTAGGCAGGTGAGCGAAACACCAACCCTGAAGCTCAGAAGAGTTCCTTGTATTCTCCCTTGCAGTGTCTTCTCTCTGGGAGCTTAAAACTGTTGACAAGAGATGTTTCTCTCCAGCTCAGCATGATGGTATACCCAGCACGTAGGAGACAGAGGCAGGCAAATGCCTGTGGTTTGAGGCTAGCCACTAGGTCCTGATTGGACTAGGGCTGTGGAGGGCTGTGTCTGGGACCGTCCTATGTTCCCCCAGTAGGTGTGAGGTGCAGTTAGGAGCTGATTGCCCCCGTGAGTGAGATGTGGTCATAAAGATGCTTGTTCCGACCTCATTAGCATTTGTAAGAATGGGCAAAGGGAATCCAGTCAGCTGTCCCAGCACCAAGGAAGCTGGAGCCCAGCACATGCTTCCGGGCCTTGGGGATATCCAAATGGAAAAAAACAAAAACAAAAAAAACATCCCAGATCTGAGTCTCAGGTTTGACAGGCAGGGAAGCATATCCATCCTTGGCAGAATGGTTGCAGTTTACAGTTTTTCTCTATTTTCAGTCATATAATCTGTCTCCCCTTTCCCTGTCCCAGCCATTATATATGAAGAAACTAGTCCCCCAGGTCATCCCGTCATCAAAGCCCAGACAGGGGACCCCAGGCAGCCAGGGATTCATGCCTCTGACACTCCCTGCCCCCTGATTTCAGGGCAGGAAGACTATGATCGGCTGCGGCCCCTGTCCTACCAGAACACACACCTCGTTCTCATCTGTTACGATGTCATGAACCCCACCAGTTACGACAACGTCCTCATCAAGGTACTGTGTCCTGCCTGCCTGAGAGAGGGCTCAGCTCCAGAGTGCTCTCTGCCCTGATAACCTATCTTTCTCCCTCCTCAGTGGTTCCCTGAAGTCACACATTTCTGCCGAGGGATCCCCACGGTGCTGATCGGCTGCAAGACAGACCTGAGGAAGGACAAGGAGCAGTTGAGGAAGCTCCGGGCAGCCCAGCTGGAACCCATTACCTACACACAGGTGGGTCAGGGTCCTAGTGACCGATGTGAGGGTCCACGATCCTTGAACAGCCATAGCCAGAAACCACCTAGGCCACATTGTCTTCTCAATTGCAAGCTCTTACCAGGCTTTTGGGGAACTGAAGCAAACAAGGGTCTAGGAGTCATCTAAAAAAAAAAAAAAAAATACTGAGCATGGCGGTGCTCAGCTTTAATCCCAGCACCCAGCCTGGTCTAAAGAGTGAGTTCCAGGCCAGCCAGAGCTACATAGTGAAGCCATGTCTCACATAGACACTAATAATAGTATAACCAAGATTTTTATTATTTCACTCTATCCGCAAACTCAGTCGCCTCAATTGCACTGACAGGAAGAGAAGCATGAGTCGCAGCTAGCACTAGCCACATCCTCAGAATTCCGCTCTCCCCTCTGCTGAAAGTCACAGTGAGAAGGGGATGGGTGGGAGCCATTGTGGGGTTTCTTCCATCCAGCCATGCAAACACCAAACTGGCCAGTGCTGGAACAGAGACAGAGGTCCCCACCAACTCTGGAGAGCCTCCAAAGCTAGCCCCAAACTCCTAAGACTCTGGGGAGGGGGGGCCTCAGGAGGCCCCAGGCCCCTCATCTAATTAACACTGCCTCTTTCCCCCAACTCCAGGGCCTGAGTGCCTGTGAACAGATGCGAGGCGCACTCTATCTGGAATGTTCTGCCAAGTTTCGGGAGAACGTGGAAGACGTCTTCAGGGAAGCCACCAAGGTGGCCCTCAGCGCCCTGAAGAAAGCACAGAGGCAGAAAAAACACAGGATCTGTCTGCTGCTGTGACCCAGGAGGCAGAGAGCCTGAGTGGAACTGTCACGGCCGGGGACCCAGGCCCAGCCTCCATCACATCTCTGCGGTGTCTGGCATCTGGGGCTAGACTCTCAGAACATTCTGGAACGGCCCCCTTTGGGTTCAGGCTGTAGTTCACTAGTGAATGAGGGTGCCAGACCCACCAATGTTCCTCTACCCCAGAACTGGCACTTGTCCCAGGCCACAGGAGGGCCCTTGTCACAGCTCCTCTTTGCCCCAAGCCATGCGTGTCTCTCCCTTTCCAAACCCAATTCATGCCTGAAATGCAGAACGGCACCGGGAATTGTGGGTAAACACGGATATGCAACACTGTTCACGAGCGTCCCAAGCCCACTGTTTCTGTCACGGTCTCCCTGAGCTACTGAGATAGGCTCGGCTACATCCTCCAGCCCCTTCCTGCTTCCCCTCAGGAACCTGGGGACCACAGCCTATCAGGAGAACACAGGCATCAAGCCGGACATGGAGCTGGCACCAGCCTCTCCCTCCCTATCTATGGCACTGAGGACTTCTGTCTCAGGCTTGGTCACAGCCTGAGATGCATGTTCAGAGGGAGAAGAAACAATCTCTCAAAATGTCAAAATATACTCAGGCCAGCCAGGCTACCCACCTGATCCAGGTCTGACCTCCAAACCCCCAGCCAACTCTCACTGGAAACTCCAATGCTTATACCACCTTTAGGAGCCTCAGGCAAATGGGCTCTCTCCCTAGACTATGGCCCACCTGTAAGTGGCCAGGATTTGGTCATTTAGATAGTCAAGCTTCTTGCCACCCAACTCAGTTTCTGCTTCTACCGGATGTGGAGCTCAGGAGTGGACTATCTCTGCCTCATTCCAGAACTAACATGGCCACCCCTGCCCACGCTGGAGAGTTTCTCAGAACTAGCCTGCTGACCACCAGTGTCTCCAACAGCAAAATTCTTAAGTCCCAACGCTCCTTCCGGAAGGTCTAGAGTCTGCCTTTCAGAACTGTTCAAGCCCAATATACCAGGTAGGTTTAGTGCCGCCAAAATGAAGGCATCGTCTGAGAAGAAACCATGGCCTTGGCTGGCCCATCTGCCACAGCACTACTTGACTTGGCCCCCCAGAGTCAGATTGCCAAGGAAAGAGACTTCTGGTCCCCTTTCCCAAATGCCCCAATGCCCTGCAGAGCCAACCAAGGACCTCTTGTTCTCTCAGAATCCAGGGCCTTGTGGACAGATTGTGGTATACAGCAACGGTCAGCAAACCACAACCTATGGGTCACATGTGGCCACTGCCTGTTTTTGTAAATAAAGTTTTATTGAACAGCCACAATTATGTAATGGCAGTTTTTGCTCTACAACTGCAGGCTAGAAGTTGCCACAGGGCTAGCCCACAAAACCCAAAATATTCATCTTCTGGGCTTTAATGGGAAAAGTTTGCTGAGTCCTAATCTGTGGCAATCCCAGGTACCTTCGAAGGTGATTGGGGACAGGAGACCAAGGGCAGAAACAGGGCAGGGATGAAGGGAGGGCCAGGCTGTGACAAACAGAAGCAGGTGCCTGATCCTGCCCTTTGGGAATGTTGCCAGGCCTTCCATGTTTTTGTAAGGTAAACAGAAATCTGGATTCTTATGCTGAATCTCACCATGGGGAAGGCGAGGTCTCATTTTTATCACATAACTGAAGTATTTTAAAGTCCTGTGAGGACCGAATGAAACGTGTCTGAGGCGGCCAGCCGTGATAGCGGGTCTGAGCAGGCTGGGCAGGGATACAACACTCAACTGGACCTGTTTGTCCCTCCACTCTTGCTGCTGCCAGGGACCTCACAGGGTCACACCCTGGGCTGGGCCCACTTAGACCCTTCCACTCACCCCCTTCCTGCACAAACAAGAACCTCTGAGGTAAAGAGAGGAATGGGTGCCCTTCAGATAGCTGAAGCTCCAGTCACAATGAGGGTCTGGGTCCTATGCCAAGGACTCAGCAAGTCTGTGAAGGCGGCTGAAGGGTGCCAGTGAGAAACACCCAAGAGTCTGCTGGAACGCCAACAACCCACAGGCTGGGCGCCCTCTAGTGGAGGCCGTCCTTAAAACCCTGCCACTCAGCTCCAAGGGGAAAGAGACCTCGAGGTCCCAAGGAGGTTGCATCACTTTCAGGCGATTCGGGAGACACAAGGCAAGAGACTAGACAGGTAGGTTCTCTGAGAACTTAAGTATTTCCCCACCACAGAGGGTGGGGGCTGTGGGAGGCTTACAGCAGAGGTGGTGGCCCAGGGCAAGGGGGGGCTCCACAGGATGCTGAAAGTTTCATTCCACCCGGAGCCTGGGACACAGTAAGTACCAGGTCAGCTAAAGCCAACCCCAGTGAGGCACATCCAAACCCCAGTGAGGGATTCAAACGATAGGATGAGGGAGAGAGGGGTTCCCTGAGGCTTTCTGCCCCTCCCTGGGAGACAGACATAGGCCTGCCCACTGCCATTACACAGAGCTCTGGGGAAGGCCTCGGATTCCAGGGAAGCAGGGAAGACCGGATATTAAATATGATATAAATAGAAAGCTGGGACAGGTTAATACTGTGCGCACAGGCGGCCTTCACATTCCTCATGTCTGCCGGGGACCAGGGCCTTGGCCCTGCTCCCAGAGATGCTGCTGGCCCCTGAGATGCTGTTTCCCATGGCTACCGCTGACCGGCAGCCAGGGTGCTGGCTGGAATGCCCAGCAGTCTTAAGTCCCAAAGTCCCCAGGCACAAGAGTCCGGAGGTTCATGGCTGCTTTGTCTTGTTTCTGTTCTTCTTGAGTTTGGCATGGACGACTTTGAGTGTGGTCAGGAAGTTGCCGAGGAAGAGGATGAGGAAGGTGAGAGCCAGCACGAATACCTGGTCCATCCGGAGGGCAGGATCCCGCAATGCCCAGGGCAGAGGAGGAAGGAGAATTCAATTCCTCTGTGGAAGAACCCTGCCACAGCCTCAACCCCAGACTCTCAGGCAAGCTATGGGAGTGACCAGCAAATGGTGGTAGCAGGTGAATGAGGTGGGTCCCCAATCGGATGAGGCTCTAGAAGAGCGTTTAATGGGACGACCCTTCGTTCGGAGACACTGAGGGGCTCCCTGCACTGTTGAATCCCTTCCTGCTGCTTCGGGCCCCAGCAGCAAAGAAATGAGGGCTCAATAGAGTCCTCCCCAGGCCAGCCCAGTTCTAAGCTCCCTGTTCCCTACTGCCAGACAGACAGACAGACAGACGGACGGAGGGAGGCATGATACCTGCCATTCTTTGCATTCCTCGTGGCTAGAGAGCTCAAACAAGGTGACGGCATTGTAGAGCTGCCAGAACTGGAGACAAGGAGACAGGCACCACCTACCCATCAGCTTCCCTGCAGGTCCATGTGGAAAAGCCAGGGAGATGGACCAGGCCCCCCAGCATCACAAACCAGCTACCCAAGATGTGGGCATCCTGACCCCGTGAACCTGCAAGTGTCTCAGACACAGCAAGTCCTAGACCCTGAGGAGATGGGATCACGGAGACTACCTGAGGCTTTCCACCTCTCCCTCAGAGAGATGGCCCCATCCTGTGCTATGACCGCAGGCAGTGAGGACGCCCTCAGACCTCCCCCCCCCCCAGGAAGCTGTGAGGCTTGAGCATTAAATGTGTCCATTATGGGGAGCTAGAGTTGGGTGATGTTTGTATAGATGGGTACCTCATCCCAGATACCTGAGACAGATACCTTGTGAGGGAGGGGAGCCCCAAAGATCTCCTGTTCCCAGCCCAGGTCCTCCCTGACAGCGGTACCCACAAACAGAAGGACTCACGTGGCCGCAGAAGAGGAAAGGCAGGAGGAAGGTGAGGCCCCGCCACATCCAGGACTGGAACCCTTCTGTGGGGAAGAAGTAAAGAGTACGTGTGTGTGTGTGTGTGTGTGTGTGTGTGTGTGTGTGTGTGTGTGTGTGTGTATATCCACATGCGTGCATGCATGCCTGTTTAAAAAACCACAGTCTCTCTGTTACCCAGGCTGACCTCAAACTTCTGGGTTCAAGTGATCCTCCCAATTCAGCCAACCAAGTAGCTGGGACTTTATATGTCCTACCACACCCAGCCTAACACTGTAATTGTGTATATTATAAAATTCAGACCAGAAAAATAGGCATTCCAAAGGGTAGGTTCAAGGCCCAGCACTGAGGGGCCTAGAACCCTGTTGCTACCACACTTGGTGGCTGAAACAGGATCCCTGGTCAATTAGGAACAGCAAGTGGGTGAAGAACGTCTGCCCTGGATCTTCGGCATGGAGGTCTGCCACCCTTCTGATGCTGTGCCTCCACTGGGGGAGTGGACCAGCCTTCCCAAATCTACCCATTGCCTAGCTACTCACCCACTGTGAGGTCCAGGTGGTTCCTCTCCCCGAGGGCCCGCAGTCTGTAGAGACAGCCCCTCTGGTAATAGTACTGTAGAAACTGAACACAGCCTGTAGGGGGAGCACAGTACCCGGGCTCAAGGAAAACATCCTACCCAAGAAGGCCTTTCCTCCAAATCCTAGGTCCTTAAATGCAGAGTAGTGTGGGTGGGCTGGGCAGAGGAGCAGGGCGAGCATACAGGTGACCTGCTTTAATTTTGATTGTAATAATTTACCACAGCTATACTTCTATGTGACTACCTCATTTTTTAGCAGCCGCTTCCCCTCTGCGTGGGGCTACTTTTCTTTCCCATCTTCAGTTGCCTGTTGGACCCAGCATAATCCCCCACAGCTTGCCTTCCACGAGGCATTTACTGAGTGCCTACTGGAAGTCTAGGAAAAGTCCAGAGGTTTCTAATCTGGTCAGTGCTTTGCTGGGTCATGACACATCTAAGCTGTCTGTGTGCTCCAAGGGATAAAGCATGTTCGGACAGTATGGGGACAAGAGATAGACAGAGCAGATCTCGAGAAACCAGGTCCCTCTCCTCCAAGCTGGGCTTAAGTACTCACTCTGAAAAATGGAGAACGCTAAAAACTGATCACGAAACTTCTGATAAATTAGTCCATTAGGCCTGGAAAAAAAAAAAAAACAGAAAGGTGGACATGCTGTAAAACCAAGTATTCATCCATTACCCCAAAAGGAAAAGACCATTTCTGTCCTTTGTCCTCCCGAGCTGACCGAGTCACACCCATCACCCTTTCTATCTTTTTTTTTTTTGTTTTTTCGAGACAGGGTTTCTCTGTATAGCCCTGACTGTCCTGGAACTCACTCTGTAGACCAGGCTGGCCTCGAACTCTGAAATCCGCCTGCCTCTGCCTCCCAAGTGCTGGAATTAAAGGCGTGCGCCACCACCGCCCGGCCCATCACCCTTTCTAGAACAAACGGACACATTGTGGTCACTCTTGTCCCCCGTGCTGTTCCCGTCACCCGTGCCCTGGCCAACAAAAACTATGAAATAGTCCCCAGAAAGCTCCCAGCTGGCTCCACAGGACCCTGGCAGCCGGGCCTCCAGCCAGGTTTTCAGTTGACACTTGCTTTCACGACCCACAAGTCCATTTTGAGAACTCCTTTTGAGAACTCCTACCCCATGGACCAGCCCTCGATGACACCAGCGGGGAAGACTTACCAAGTCAACATCACTCCAGACAGGAACGTGGAGACATAATGGTGAGACACCCACCAGCCCTTGATTCTTGGCGAGAAGAAAGAAAGGAAGGAGCTCAGATGGAGAGAGACATGCAGGCAGCTTTCTGCTTCCTAGCCTCCATGAGCAGGGGCTGCCCTGTGGCTGAGAAATGGGCCAAACCGTACCTTAACTCTTCCTGCACAGGCACATAAACCCAAACAAACTACTTGCAAATTAGTCCAGGGAGTTTCTGTGGCCTACAGAACACATCCTTATCCGTACAGAACCCTCAAGCTCCACCTCTTCAATTCCCCAGCAGTGAGATACCCCAAGCCTAGGGTTTATGCTGGACCGAACTATGTCTCAAACTTCTACGTTGCCATCTAGTCTGGCGAGGTTAAGGGGACACATGGCAAAGGATCCAGGTTCTTTGACCTAGTGTCTCTGTAAGAGACAGACCGGGAAGATCGGAACACAGAGGGAGGGCTGTATAGAACACAGGATGGGGAGGCAGAGGCAGGCGGATTTCTTAGTTCGAGGCCAGCCTGGTCTACAGAGTGAGTTCCAGGACAGCCAGGGCTATACAGAGAAACTCTGTCTCGAAAAACCAAAAAAAAACAAAAAAACAAAAAAAAAAAAAAACCACAGGATGGGAAGGTAGCCATCTGCAACGGCAGGAGAGAGGCCCGAGATCAGCACTGATGACATTTCATGAAGGACTTCCAGCCCCCAGAGCCATAGGAAAGAAATGTCTGTTGTTTAAGAT